TTTTTTGTTAATGCGAAGACAATATTTCTATATTTCTTTATGTGCTCCATTGAACGACTAACTATCAGAATGTGCTCACTAACTGATATCAGAGAGGACAGCAACCATGTAATTTCACTATAAATCAAATTCATGTAATTTAAATAATACTTATCCATGCCTGTACAACTGGTGTGTCCTACATTGATAGGAAAATATATATTATATTAAGGTGATAGAATATGTTGTTTTTGAACTACTTTTGAGTCTTATTGTTTTTATGATACATACTGGTTGAACTTCAAGAGTAACCTTGGGTCTCACGTTGTTCTTATTGGTGAATCATAACGTTTGATACTTTAAGGAGCGTGAAGAAATAATAGGATATGTGTGTAAGTCATTGGAGTCAGATTGATCACACTTACTCGTAAGATTTCATCTCGATCTGGATGGCTAATAGGAGTTTACTTACCCAAATAAGAGTAACTGGTTGGAAGAAGCACAGATATCGACAGGATCCAAAGGGCGCTTCAGCCCTTGTTCAATAACGATCCACAGATGAAGTGAGTCTGTTAAGAGTATTCACTTGTTATAAAACCAGGCAAAATCTGTTTTACCCCGAAAACCTTTTGAAACGTGTGCAAGAAGTTGTATGATAAACACAATAACAAAACTGTTCCATGGGTCCTACAACTAGGCATTTAAATGAACACTTAGGCCAAGTTTCCAGGTGATACAAATTTCACTTATACCTAATCGGTGCTCAGTCTGCCAACTTACGTCGTTGCCACGAAGGTCACTCTGTGAGAGATGACCAGAGGTAGGAAAACAAATTAAAATGGTCAACATTACTGAGGGCAAGATATATGAAGATATAGAAACAGTCAAAAGTCATCAGGTTGCCACATATGCTGGCTTCTCAAGGGGCGACTAAATCCTGAAAACTTCTGAAAGGATATGAAGGTTTTAGTCAGCTGCTAGACTGAAATTTTGACACTTACTGTAGCAGAATGATTCACCTGAACCCCCTCCCAGCCCCCGGAAAAAATTGCTGGAGTATTGACATTTGTCGGGGTATGTAGCGCTCCTTTATTAAACATAACTGTACGCTTATAAAAGTCACTCGTATGTGCATGTTATACGTTTACAGAAACTAACTATACTTACGCTTTTGGGACGTCTGCCATTGTATTTTGGCGAGAGCCGTCTGCTGGCCAAAATTGGTAGACAGCAATTTACGTCAATGTTTACGTCCCATATCCTCGTCACGAGAAAGAAAACAAGAACGAAGACCAACTCAACAACCATTAGTGGATGTACTATGGTATCATAATCGCAGTCACCATAAGCATTCCGTTTCATTTTATAGTTATTATGTGTTGTTGTTCCGAAATCTGCATAGCTTTTGACCTGATTTTTAACATTTTTTGTTTTCTGTTGATTCTTATTCCCTGATGATTCAGTTAACCATTGTGTGATGCCGAACTTCTGATCACAATATTCTGTTTTACTGTTGCAACTATTGTTAGACTGAATCTAAGGTCATGCCACAAAGTGACCGCTTGTCCTTCGGCTGTTCACTATTGAAAAGAGATTTGTTGTGTTTGCTTCTTACGAACAGAATTTCTGTCCAATCTTATTGGGAATTTTTGTGTTGATTCTCCGGTATTTGACTGTTTTCTCTGGCTAATTGCATTTACTGCATAAAACGTGTTTCGTTTGGGACGAATCTTCAGACTGCACGGTTATCTCAGGGCATTGTTGGGGCTTTATGTATTTTTGATGCAAATTGTCTTTATTTAGTAGTTTCACAAGTTTCTTAGTGTTAAATCATGGTCTTCTTGGCTTGGAAGGTTGCACATGACGACAAGATGACGGCACTACTGTGTAAGCCGAGAAGTTGAATGCAGTTTCAGTGTTATTATATCCTCATGTGGATCACCCTGTATGTAATGTCTCATTAAGCGAAGACAATATTTCTATATTTCTTTATGTGCTCCATTGAACGACTAACTATCAGAATGTGCTCACTAACTGATATCAGAGAGGACAGCAACCATGTAATTTCACTATAAATCAAATTCATGTAATTTAAATAATACTTATCCATGCCTGTACAACTGGTGTGTCCTACATAGATAGGAAAAATATATATTATAAGTTAAAGCCGAGAAGTTGAATGCAGTTTCAGTGTTATTATATCCTCATGTGGATCACCCTGTATGTAATGTCTCATTAAGCAAAAACTGCTTCTACTCAAAAGTACTTCACTCGATCTCAGCAAAATCATGATACAACTACAAAAATGAGGGTTATAAAGATCTATATAGCCTCACAAACATATGAAACCGCTTCCACTAAAAACTGTGTGTTTGCTCGTCCTAATTCTCCTGATCATATAACTGCTGAAAACTTCCCGGTTGCATGTACACTGAGGTAGGCGTTTGCTTTCAGAAGGGTGTTGTTCACAATAATGGTAACTTGGTTGCCTAAATTTCCACTTAGCACGATGCACAAATTCCTCTACGTTTCCTGTTGCCTAAACCGTTCATTTTCGATTCCTGATCGGCGCGTAAACTAGAGAACATTTCAATTTACTCTTAAACTGATGGTAGAATGATGTCAAAGCATATCCCCAAAATACACAGTTTGAACGAGCGCCAATAAGACAAAGGTGTGAACGAAGTACTTCTGAATCAGGGGATCAAATGTTCTAGCATAGAACCATGAAGGTGCGTATTCACATGTTAAGGTTTGGGATCTATTACCAAGTAACATTTACTTAATCGTACTAGCAAGATTGACTAATTCGAACTAGTGTATTTAGAGGTTATGCCTAATTTTCACTTCACTGCTGCTCACGTCTACGAGAATATAATGTAAGAATGCAGATGACTGGATATTGCCTAAAACGGCGTAATGCAGGGCTACATGATATGCTATCAAGTGACATTTTACTTGAAGATTACGTACAAAGGTTTAATATTTTCCGATTTAAATGCACTGACAGTTATTTGCTGTGTTAACACAATAACAGCCCTTATTACTATTAAAATTACTGTCTCAAAATAGTGCCCTTGTCCTACTGTGCCAGACGAAAAGTTTTTGTTTCAGTGTAGATCGAAAGTTAAGCCTTAGCCCTTTGGTGCATGCTCCAAGTGATATATCCGTATAAAAATTGTAATGTTTGTCAGCGACTATTCCATCTGTCAGCTCAAAAAAAGTTCATTTAAGCTGGCTAGACAACCTTAGGATGTTTACCGCTAACATGGTCGATATGTATGCTTATTTACGGCGAAAAGCTGCGACTGCACTGCCTGCGTTGATACACCATGATAATGGAATAGAAGTCTCTATTCTTATGTGATGTAGCATGTCAGGTAGGTTATATCACTGCATCATCTCCATCTATTCAAAGGCGGACTGAAGCCCTATTTTTTGATTTTAAATATTCAACATAAAATTCCGATTAGTCGATTGTGCTGATCAGG